AAGTAAAGGCAAATCATCCCTTGATATCATTAAGTCGTCACTGTTAACTCTTTCCTCCCTGGAACTTGTGGGATTCCCTCCTTTCCCCTTCCAGCTTCCCTTTTCCCTGCAGCTCTGGAAGGAGAGAGGGCTGGGGCTGTCTCCTGGCCCTGTGCCCCTCATCAGCACCATCTCTTTTCTGCTGATTGTGTTATTTGCATGGAAACTCTGGAACAGACAGACTCCCACAGACCCTCCTGATTATTCTTCCCTCCAACTGCACAGCATTGCTCTCAACAGACACCAAGCATCCCTCAATTCTTCTCCCTAAAATAACACTATTATGAGCAGCTCTGTATCCTGCCAGTCATCATGTCAGCCCTTGTTCTTCATCTTCCCCCAAAACAGATAATTATTGTCTTACTTTCCTACCATACAATTTTCCTTTGACAGTTCAAAAAGAAAGTAAAAATACTAGGAGAGATGAAGGCGAAGTCTGGGGTTTGTGTGGTCTCAGAAATCTAAGAAGTTTATTTCTCTCAGTACCTCTGTGGAGGAACCACTTGTTGCAAATGATACAATGGAAGAGCTGTGTCAGAACCAGCAAGTCTTTTGGCAAGTTGCAGGATAAAACAGCTCCCATGAGCTGAGCATGATGTTATTTGGGGATTTTCCATGGGAGCTGCCCCACCATGCCCTCTTCCACTGATTTGCTTCTGATATTAACAGTAAATTTGAATCCTGCAAATATAATCTAAAATTTAAAAATAATTTCTTGCCTACAAGCTATGTTGATGGCTTTTATACTTGGAGGCATTGTGTCACATAGGTTATATATTTTGATTTTAATATGAGGCAACATAATGGGCATTGCAATCAGTGCAGGCTCACAGCAGCAAATGTTTATAAATTACTACCATATGCTGATTCAAATAGAACAAATTTTATTTAAAATAATTATCAGACTTTTCACCTTTTTTAAAATGAAATTTGGGGTTTGGCAGGTTTAATATGGATTTAATGTGTTTAGGATAACAGATGATCAAATAAGGCATAAGAAATTGCTCTTATTAAAAATCTGGAAAACCCATAACACAACAAACCATGCCTGCTCTCCAGCTGGAATGTGCTTGCTCCTTATTGACCAGGATACAAATCAACCAGAAAATGCAAGACAGATGATGGTTTCAAGGCTGTGTCTGCACCACAGATTGTATTGGAGATGTCGTAAATTATAATTTAGGATGCATAGGAGTTACATAAATATCCTTGTTTTTTCCCTTGGATTACCATTACAGTGCAGCAGTCTCTATAATGTGCTGGAGTTGATATGGCAGGTGAAAAAAAGAGGAAAAGAATGAAAAAAAGTAATCTTGGAATTAAAGGCTTGGAAGTGAAAGCCTGGAAGTGCTACTGTGGGCTTCAGCAGACTTTTGTGACCTTCACTTGAGGGCTGTGCTGGGAGCAGAGCTGGCTGAAGCACAGCAGCTGGGAACCAAGCACAGTCTCACTCTTGCAGGTTGCTGAATCATTTTGGAGGCAGCGGTGACCTCAAGTTCCTGTGGTTAAAACTTTGCCCTAAAACAGGAGAGCTGCTGCAGCACTGGGAACACAGACCCACAGACTTGTCCATGTTCCCAATTGTGTAGGAGAACTAATAACCTCCTTGAAAAAGGGGTGTTGCTGTAGGATTGAGCCTGTCCATGTTAAAGAAATACTCCTGAGCTATTGGATAAAAGGGTTAATATTTAGAAGAGCTGCACAACTCATGTGGCTGTAAACTGAGCTGGTATTGAAACCTCATGGATCAGTTAAAATAAACAAAATTCTTATCTCTGCTCCAGAGTTTTACTGTAATGGTCAGCAGTCCTCAACCTATGGCTTGAAACAAGGAAGATGTCCCTAGATCTGCTGCTGCTTCCAGCCAGTACTTTGATCCAGGCTGACAGAAGGCAAAGGACCACAATGCCTGGGTTGCTTTACTCACCTAGTATTCCTGCCCACGGGGCTGAGAAGGGTAGAGAACACTAGCTAAGGAATGCTTAAAATAAGAACACACACTTTACTTTGGGAGGTTTTGCCTTAGTGGTTTAATAATGCTTTATTTAAAGGAACAGTGACAGTGATTTCCTGAGCGGGGATGGACAGGGAGTCTATAAGAAGAACAAAATAGAAGAGAAGCAGCAAAATTGAGTTACAAAGCAGAAGGTGTACACAGAGCCTGGAGCTGTCAGTCAATTAATAAAAGTTATCTTTCATCATCCAGCATAAATGAACATGGATTTTCATCATCCATTTGATGTTGTCATGATGGGTGTGAATGCAAAACCATAATTTCTAGTATTTGCAAGACAGGAAAGTTAAATAGAAGGGTGGTTGCAGGTAAAGATCGGGGATTAATTTCCACATTTTTGCAAAGCTCATTCTGCTTTTCTTGCCCTCACTACCCCAGCCTTTTTCAAAGCAGGTTTTTTGTTGATTTAAAATTATATCATGCCTTAGTAATGAGTGTGAGTCCTCATGCTAAGGTAAAGTAGGTAGAAATAACTTGCTTCCCTTGGTTAGTAGGATTTAATAGTTTCTTGCCATAGAGTTTTTATTTGTAGGAATGCTTAGCTCCAGCCCTAGAAGACAACGAGAGCCATTAAGCTCTGAAAAATCACAGGAAACAGTCAAAATCTTGCCAAGTGTTTCCTTTCTTTGTCAAATTACAAAGCCATAAGTGCCAGAAGTGTTGTTCCTACTGGGGTTTAAGCGAAGTACCAATCTTTCAGAAAGATCCCCCTGGTCCCATTGAAGTATATGGAACAACCTGTGGGAAATCAGTGGCATTGTTCATGTGAATAAGATATATGTGCTCCAAGAAATTATTCTTAGTGCTTTTCTAATAATACGGTGTTGGAGCTTTGTTTGAATAGGACTCCCCATGTCAGGAGCGTGTGCTGGGAATGTTGGAGTGGCAGTGCTGCAGTTACCTGGTGTCTGGGATGGTTCACTTTGTGCCAGAGCCCCAGAGGGGATGCAGGGAGCGTGTGGCTGTCAGAGCTCACCACAGCCAGCAGCCAAGCAAGAAATCACTGAAGGAGGTCTCCAGGTCAGGGCTACCGGGGCTGCCATGTGAGAGAAAGGGATTAATAACCTGACTTTTATCACTTTTATCTGGTGAGCTGCCTGTATTTCTTCATTTTGCTGATGGATTAGTTCGTCCCCAGGGGAGCAGGTTATAGTAGGTGGTGAAGAAGTGCCGGCACCACCATCTTTTTATTTAAAATTTTAACCACTCTTCTAGTCAGAATGTGAGTGACCAAAGCCAAACTACCCCCCTTCCATGGGCCTTCCTAATTACATGGCACTGGGGAACAGACCCAGTGAGGCAGGATAACCCTATGTGCCACATCTCCCTTCCCAGCAGTCCCAATGCTCTTCTGAAAGGAGAAAAGCCACCATGATTACTCAGGGCAGAGGAACACAAGAGGGTTTCTCATTATACAGCACATTTAGTGGTGGAGGGACACACCTCAGAGACAACAGAGGTAGAGTTTGCCCCCTGCTCTGTGGATCATTTTTGGTATTTCATTTGATGGCAATTAACACAAAAGCTTTAAGCAGTGACTTAGAAGTGAGGCCACAGTTTCTTCCACACCAGCACTTTAACTGTAGGAGCTCCAGAATCCTAGTCTTCCTTTGGCTCCATAAGATCTTTCTGCACAGCAGTGAATCTGCAGGATTAATGGAAGCATTGTATGTGACATCATTCACCCAAGTCATCTTCAGTTCTGCCCAGGTAGGACATGTCAGGCCTGGGGGCAATGTGGCACTCAGAAGCAGAGGGCTTCGGTCAGGATCCGGGGTGGAAATCTCACTACAGCATCAGCCAGATCATCCCCTGGAGTCCATGGCATTGCTTCAAGGATAAATAAATACCTCCCTTGGTCTGCAAGTGCTTTAAATTAGTTGTCTGAAGGTTTTCCCAGTTGGCAGGATATTTTTGAAGTGAAAAACTCTGGAGCTCAAGGCACTCAAGAGTTCTGTGGAAGGTCCTGAAGAGCACACCCACTGACTGGTAGACTCTTCTCATGGGAATGAGGGCTGTGGGGTTCAGCGTTTTGTGATATGAACAGACCCAAACCTTCTAAATTTGCTTCTGTAGCCACCAGGCAAAAGCAGACCTGCCTGCTCCTTCACCCGCCCTGTCAGCCTGGGCATCAGAGCGAGCATCGCATGCCTGCTTAGTTTGTAATCTGAAATTAATTTTCTTTAGGTAAAACTTGATCACAACTACATCACCTCTGGGCATGCACAGGAGCAAGGATTTTGTCTCCTTGATTTTGTAGTGAAACTGCCAAAGTATAATTTCTGTGTAGAAGGAAATGGTAACAAAGTCTTTTTAGGAACCTTAGAGGGAGTGTTTCATGTTTAAAGCACAAAAAGTCCAGCTGAATAGAAAGGGAAGTAAGAGGAGCTTGTGGGGCATGTTCAGTGAACAAACAGGACTATAAACATACCCTATAATATAAACATACCATAAAATTCACTGGGTAGATGCCCAAAGATCCAAAATCCATTCCTTCTGAAACTTTCTACAACTATTATTAGCCATGTTATATGTAAAACCAGTGGGTTAAAGCTGAACTGAAGGATCCCAACCCCCCACATGACGAACGGAAGGTCAACTCCTGATCACACTTCACAGGGAGCACAAAGTGCTCATGTGCTTGATCCACTTGGTGTTTCTCATTTAACCAGGAGTTAATTTGGTGTGGCCTCAAAGAGGAAAAATTTGCTCTGGGAGGTGTTTTTCTGAACTGCTCATAAGTAAAGGTTTTGTTTTGAACTATGGCTTACCATTGGTGGTCCTTTTCCAGGGAAGATTTCATAATATAATTTTTTTTACTTTTAACTTGATGTGACTCACTAAAAAATGGAAATATTCAAGCATTCCCATGCAGTAAGTACTACATGTTGAGCCTTGCAGCTGCTGGCTGCCAGATCTAACTCTCCCTGTCTGTTTGCAATTGCAGGAGCACGGAAGTCATGAGTACTGTCTCAGGTACACGAAGTACAACAATCACTTTCACTGTCCGACCCGGAGCCAGCCAGCCGATCACACTGCAGAGCAGGTCCCCAGACTATGACAGTAGGACCTCAGGAGCAAGACATGCTCCAAGCCCTGTGGTTTCACCAACAGAGATTAATAAAGACGTCATACCTGCCTCTCTGACTGCTTCTGCTTCAGCTTCATCTCCTTCTCCAACTCTGTCTGATGTATTTAGCCTACCCAGCCAGCCCCCTTCTGGGGACTTATTTGGCTTGACCACAGGGCGCAGCAGGTCTCCTTCTCCCTCAATATTACAACAGCCAATCTCAAATAAGCCTTTTACAACTAAGCCTGTCCACCTGTGGACTAAACCAGATGTGGCAGATTGGTTGGAAAGTCTAAACTTAGGTGAACATAAAGAAACATTTATGGACAATGAAATAGATGGCACACATTTACCAAATCTACAGAAGGAAGATCTGATAGACCTTGGAGTGACTAGAGTTGGGCACAGAATGAACATAGAAAGAGCTTTGAAGCAGCTGCTGGACAGATAAGAATAGCTATTTTGCCTCAAACTTCTGTTGATAACTAGAGATGGGCTGGTACTGACATACCCCAAATGCCTTGTGTGTCTGCGAGTGCCAGCAAAATTGGGGGATGGGGAGGGGAAAAACAGTTGAATTCCTGGTACTCAGGTGATGCAGACTGTATGCTACATGCCCAAACACAAATCTAAAGATGTTAAAGTAAGTGGGGCCATTTTATTTCAAAGTTGTGGGGAGATATGAGAGAGAGACAATTGTTAACTTCAAAAATACTATCTCTTGGTGCCCTTTGCTGGGAT